TTCCAGAGACGTTGCTTACATTTTTCGTTCTTGTTCCTATTTACCCTTATCTTCCTTGACTTTTTTAAACGTGTATGATTTTGCTTCAAAACACGATGAGTTGATAAAATATAAGTTATCCACATCAAATAATGGTGCCGTGTTCGAAAACAAGTCTTTCAGGAGACGTTGCTTACATTTTTCATTCTTGCCCCTATTTACCCTTATTTTCCTCGACTTTTTTAAACATGTACGATTTTGCATCAAAACACGATGGGGCGATAAATATATGTTATCCACATCAAATAATGGTGCCTTGTTCGAAAACGTTGCTTACATTTTTTGGTCTTTCCCTTATTTACCCTTATTTTCCTCAACTTTTTTAAACGTGTACAATTTTTCTTCAAAACACGACGGGGTGATAAATATATGTTATCCACATCAAATAATGGTGTCGTGTTCGAAAACAAGTATTTCCTGGGACGTTACTTACATTTTTCATTCTTGCCCCTATTTACCCTTATTTTCCTCGACTTTTTTAAACGTGTACGATTTTGCTTCAAACCACGATGGGGCGATAAATATATGTTATCCACATCAAATAATGGTGTCGTATTCGAAAACAAGTCTTTCCACGTTGCTTACATTTTTCATTCTTGCCCTTATTTACCCTCATCAAATAATGGTGCCGAGTTCGAAAACAAGTCTTTCTGGAGACGTTGATTACATTTTTTGTTCTTGCCCTTATTTACCCTTATTTTTCTCGACTTTTTTAAATGTGTACGATTTTGCTTCAAAACATGATGGTGCGATAAATATATGTTATCCACATCAAATAATGGTGTCGTGTTCGAAAACAAATCTTTCCGGAGACGTTGCTTACATTTTTCGTCCTTGCCCCTATTTACCTTATTTTCCTCGACTTTTTTAAACGTGTACGATTTTGCTTCAAAACACGATGGGGCGATGAATTTATGTTATCCACATCAAATAACGGTGTCGTGTTCGAAAACAAGTCTTTCCAGAGACGTTGCTTACATTTTTTGTTCTTGCCCCTATTTACCCTTATTTTCCTTGACTTTTTTAAACGTGTACGATTTTGCTTCAAAACACGATGAGGCGAAAAATATAAGTTATCCACATCAAATAATGGTGCCGTGTTAGAAAACAAGTCTTTCCGGAGACGTTGCTGACATTTTTCGTTCTTGCCCCTATTTACCCTTATTTTCCTCGACTTTTTTTAAACATGTACGATTTTGCATCAAAAAACGATGGGGCGATAAATATATGTTATCCACATCAAATAATATTTTCGTGTTCGAAAACAAGTCTTTCCGGAGACTTTGCTTACATTTTTTGGTCATTCCCATATTAACCCTTATTTTCCTCAACTTTTTTAAACGTGTACGATTTTTCTTCAAAACACGATGGGATGATAAATATATGTTATCCACATCAAATAATGGTGCCGTGTTCGTAAACAAGTCTTTCTGGAGACGTTACTTACATTTTTCGTTCTTGCCCCTATTTACCCTTATTTTCCTCGACTTTCATTAAACATGTACAATTTTGCATCAAAACACGATGGGGTGATAAATATATGCTATCCACATCAAATAATGGTTTCGTGTTCGAAAACAAGTCTTTCCGGAGACGTTGCTTACATTTTTTGGTCTTTCCCATATTAACTCTTATTTTCCTCAACTTTTTTAAACGTGTACGATTTTTCTTCAAAACACGATGGGGTGATAAATATATTTTATCCACATCAAATAATGGTGCCGTGTTCGGAAACAAGTCTTTCCAGAGATGTTACTTACATTTTTCGTTCTTGCTCCTACTTACCCTTATTTTCCTAGACTTTTTTGAACATGTACGATTTTGCTTCAAAACACGATGGGACGAAAAATATCTGTTATCCAAGTCAAATAATGGTTTCGTGTTCGAAAACAAGTCTTTCCGGAGACGTTGCTTACTTTTTTTGGTCTTTCCCATATTAACTCTTATTTTCCTCAATTTTTTAAACGTGTACGATTTTTCTACAAAACACGATGGGGTGATAAATATATGTTATCCACATCAATTAATGGTGTTGTGTTCGAAAACAAGTCTTTCCGGAGACGTTGCTTACATTTTTCGTCCTTTCCCCTATTTACCCTTATTTTTCTCGACTTTTCTAAACGTGTACGATTTTGCATTAAAACACGATGGGGCGATGAATTTATGTTATCCACATCAAATAATGGTGTCGTGTTCGAAAACAAGTCTTTCCAGAGACGTTGCTTACATTTTTCGTTCTTGCCCCTATTTACCGTTATTCTCCTTGACTTTTTTAAACGTGTATGATTGTGCTTCAAAACACGATGAATTGATAAATATATCTTATCCACATCAAATAATGGTGTCGTGTTCGAAAACATGTCTTTCCGGAGACGTTGCTTACATTTTCGTTCTTGCCCGTATTTTCCCTTATTTTCCTCAACTTTTTTAAACATGTACGATTTTGCTTCAAAACACGTTGTGGCGATAAAGATCAGTTATCCACATCAAATAATGGTGCCGAGTTCGAAAACAAGTCTTTCCGGAGACGTTGATTACATTTTTCGTTCCTGCCCTTATTTACCCTTATTTTCCTCGACTTTTTTAAATGTGTACGATTTTGATTCAAAACACGATGGGGCGATAAATATATGTTATCCACATCAAATAATGGTGTCGTGTTCGAAAACAAGTCTTTCCGGAGACGTTGACTACATTTCTGGTTCTTGCCCTTATTTACCTTTATTTTCCTCGACTTTTTTAAATGTGTACGATTTTGCTTCAAAACACAATGGGGCGATAAATATATGTTATCCACATCAAATAATGGTGTCGTGTTCGAAACAAGTCTTTCCGGAGACGTTGCTTTCATTTTTCGTCCTTGCCCCTATTTACCCTTATTTTCCTTGACTTTTTTAAACGTGTACGATTTTTGCTAAAAAAACAAGATGGGGCGATAAATTTATGTTATCCACATTAAATATTGGTGTTGTGTTCGGAAACAAGTCTTTCCAGAGACGTTGCTTACATTTTTCATTCTTGCCCCTATTTACCCTTATTTTACTTGACTTTTTTAAACGTGTACGATTTTGCTTCTAAACACGATATGGCGATACATATAAGTTAACCACATCAAATAATGGTGCCGTGTTCGAAAACAAGTCTTTCTGTAGGCGTTGCTTACATTTTTCGTTCTTTCCCCTATTTACCCTTATTTTTCTCGACTTTTTTTAAACGTGTACGATTTTGCCTAAAAACACGATGGGGCGATAAATTTATGTTATCCACATTAAATATTGGTGTCGTGTGCGAAAATAAGTCTTTCTAGAGACGTTGCATACAATTTTTTGTTCTTGCCCCTATTTATCCTTATTTTCCTTGACTTTTTTAAACGTGTACGATTTTGCTTCAAAACACGATGAGGCGATAAATATAAGTTATCCACATCAAATAATGGTGTCGTGTTAAAAAACAAGTCTTTCCGGAGACGTTGCTTACATTTTTCGTTCTTGCCCCTATTTACCCTTATTTTCCTCGACTTTTTTAAACATGTATGATTTTGCTTCAAAATACGATGGGGCGATAAATATATGTTATCCACATCAAATAATGGTGCACGTTGCTTACATTTTTCGCTCTTGCTCCTATTTACCCTTATTTTCCTCGACTTTTTTAAACGTGTACGATTTTGCTTCAAAACACGATGGGGCGTTAAATATAAGTTATCAACATCAAATAATGGTGTCGTGTTCGAAAACAAGTCTTTCCATAGACGTTGATCACATTTTTTGTTCTTGCCCCTATTTACCCTTATTTTCCTCGACTTTTTTAAAGGTGTACGATTTTGCTTCAAAACACGATGGGGCGATAAATATATGTTATCCACATCAAATAATGGTGTCGTGTTCGAGAACAAGTCTTTCCGGAGTCGTTGCTTACATTTTTTGTTCTTGCCCCTATTTACCCTTAATTTCCTCGATTTTTTTAAACGTGTACGATTTTGCTTCAAAACACGATGGGGCGATAAATATAAGTTATCCATATCAAATAATGGTGTCGTATTCGAAAACAAGTCTTCTTGCCCCTATCTACCCTTATTTTCCTCGACTTTTTTAAACATGTACGATTTTTCTTCAAAACACGATAGGGCGATATATATATATATGTTATCTACATCAAATAATGGTGTCGTATTCGAAAACAAGTCTTTCCAGAGACGTTGCTTACATTTTTCGTTCTTGTCCCTATTTACCATTATTTTCTTGACTTTTTTAAACATGTACGATTTTGCTTCAAAACACGATGTGGAGATAAATATATGTTATCCATATAAAATAATGGTGCCGTGTTCGAAAACAAGCCTTTCCGGAGATGTTGCTTACATTTTCGTTCTTGCTTCTAGTTACCCTTATTTTTCTCGACTTTTTTAAACGTGTACAATTTTGCTTCAAAACACGATGGGACGATAAATATCTATTATCCACGTCAAATAATGGTGCCATGTTCGAAAACAAGTATTTCCGGAGATGTTGCTTACATTTTCATTCTTGCCCCTATTTACCCTTATTTTCCTCGACTTTTTAAAACGTGTACGAATTTTGCTTCAAAACACGATGGTGCGATAAATATATCTTATCCACATCAAATAATGGTGTCGTGTTCGAAAACAAGTCTTTCCAGAGACGTTACTTACATTTTCGTTCTTTCCTGTATTTACCCTTATTTTCCTCAACTTTTTTAAACGTGTACGATTTTGATTCAAAACACGATGGGGCGAAAAATATCTGTTTACCACATCAAATAATGGTGCCGAGTTCGAAAACAAGTCTTTTCGGAGACGTTGATTACATTTTTTGTTCTTGCCCTTATTTACCCTTATTTTTCTCGACTTTTTTAAATGTGTACGATTTTGCTTCAAAACACGATAGGGCGATAAATATATGTTATCTACATCAAAAAATAGTGTCGTGTTCGAAAACAAGACTTTCCGGAGACGTTGCTTACATTTTTCGTCCTTGCCCCTATTTACCCTTATTTTTCTCAACTTTTTTTAAACGTGTACGATTTTGCTTTAAAACACGATAGGGCAATGAATTTATGTTATCCGCATCAAATAATGGTGTCGTGTTCGAAAACAAGTCTTTCCAGAGACGTTGCTTACATTTTTCGTTCTTGCCCCTATTTACCGTTATTTTGCTTGACTTTTTTAAACGTGTATGATTTTGCTTCAAAACACGATGAGTTGATAAATATAAGTTATCCACATCAAATAATGGTGCCGTGTTCGAAAACAAGTCTTTCAGGAGACGTTGCTTACATTTTTCATTCTTGCCCCTATTTACCCTTATTTTCCTCGACTTTTTTTAAACATGTACGATTTTGCATCAAAACACGATGGGGCGATAAATATATGTTATCCAACTCAAATAATGGTGCCGTGTTCGAAAACAAGTCTTTCTGGAGACGTTTCTTACATTTTTTGGTCTTTCCCTTATTTACCTTATATTCCTCAACTTTTTTAAATGTGTACAATTTTTCTTCAAAACACGATGGGGTGATAAATATATGTTATCCACATCAAATAATAATGCCGTGTTCGAAAACAAGTCTTTCCGGAGACGTTACTTACATTTTTCATTCTTGCCCCTATTTAACCTTATTTTCCTCGAATTTTTTAAACGTGTACAATTTTGCTTCAAACCACGATGGGGCGATAAATATATGTTATCCACATCAAATAATGGTGTCGTATTCGAAAACAAGTCTTTCCGGAGATGTTGCTTATATTTTTCGTTCTTGCCCTTATTTTGTTGGAACCCACGAGGATCTCGATATGCACAAATCACGGACAAACATTCAACATAAACCTATGCGCAGCGGATCTAAAGGTTTGATGAAGAAAACTTACTGCTTAAAATTTATGTAGATCTGGCTGGCCCGGACAGTTGACCGCAAATCAAATCTTCTCGGAATCGAACAAACTTGACCAATCCAGAAAGCTTGCGTCACGGCGAAGTCAACGGCGTTGACCGATCGGAAATCGGACCTCTCACGCTCTCTCACTCGCCGGTGCAAGCTCCAGCGACTGGTTCCTCCTGGTGGCGCGTGCAGGCGCGTGCGGCGGCTTCCGGCGGCGATCTGGACGCGATCTCTTCGTCTCGTCGTCCTGGTCGTCGTGGTATGGTCACTTGCTGGTTTT